AGATACCTTTTAAATATTGTATGAGGGGTGCCTGGGTGGCTCAGATGGTTAAGCGTCTGCCTTCGGCTCGGTCATGATCCCAGGGTCCTGGGATCAAGTCCCGCATCGGGCTCCCTACTAGGCGGGAAGCCTGCTTCTCCCTCAGCCTCTGCGTCTGTCTCTCTCTCTCTCTGACTCTCATGAATAAATAAAAAAACATTAAAAAATAAATAAATATTGTATGAGTGAGGTGGTCCTTGTTCCCGGTCATAAAGCAGGAGAGTGCAGATTAGAACTAGCAAGCAAGCATAACGATGTTCAGTGGCCCTCACTGTTTTCCGAGGACAGACTGGGGAAGAGGGGAGAGATGGGGCAGTTCTCTGTCATTAAGAGAAGCGGAGGCAGGCGGGGCAAAGCTGGACCGCTGAGACTCCGGGAGGACTGCTGGCCTCGGAGCTGGCTGCCGGTCTACACCCCGGCTCGGCCGTTGGGCAGGAACGTGGCCCTGAGCAGGTGGTTTGCCTCTCTGTGCCCAAAGTCCCCATCTGTAACGTGGGATGATAGTAATGCCTCCCCACTACCGCTGTGGTAGGCGTCAGACAAGCTGATGGATGTGAAGCACTTAACGATGTCGCTGGTTCACGGTGAGTAGTGTGTAGATGTGGCTTTTTACAATATTAGAATCCTTTCTGAGGACAGCTGGGCAATATGTATCTACAGCCATTAAAATGTGATTTGGGGGGCGCCTGGGGGGCTCAGTTGGTTAAGCATCTGCCTTCGGCTCAGGTCATGATCCCAGGGTCCCGGGAGGGGAGCCCTGCATCGGGCTCCCTGCTCAGCTCTGTGTTCTCCCAGGTGAGGCCGACGGTCACTGCCTCTGCCTGCCGCTCCCCCTGCTTGTGCTCTCTTTCTCTCTCAAATAAACAAAATCTTAAAAATAAATAAAATGTGATTTTTGAGCCAGTTATTTCATTCTTGAGGATGTATCTCAAGGAATTAATTAAAAAAAAAAGAAAAACAGATTATAACTTAGGACAAAGGTTTGGAAACCACTGTATTTACAAAGCAAATAACCAGAAACAACCCAGAAGGCCAGCGAGAGGCTGATGGTCAAGTGTATGCCCCCTCGGCCTGACCGAACATTCCAACACGGTAAGAGGGCCAACGTCGACTCTCCATGCTTGGCGAAGCGTTCTCGAAGTAACACTCAATGAGAAAAGTGGTCACGGAACTGTGTGTGTTTTGATAACTTTGATAACATTGGGCACATCTTGCCTGGCTGTTTGTGTTTGGGGATTAGAAATGCCTCCTTAAGATTTACTTTCAGGTATTTTAAAGTAGGTTGGTCACTAAATGAAATGTGTCTTTAAATTTGGTGTTGGGGGGCGCCTGGGTGGCTCAGTTGGTTTAAGCGTCTGCCTTCAGCTCAGGTCGTGATCCCAGGGTCCTGGGATCGAGCCCCGCATCGGGCTCCCTGCTCGGCGGGGAGCCTGCTTCTCCCTCTCCCTCTGCCTGCCTCTCTGCCTACTTGTTCTCTCTCTGTATCTCTCTGTCAAATAAATAAATAAAATCTTTAAAAAAATAAATAAATAAATTCGGAGTTGGATGTTACGAAGAAAGCGTGCTGGTCCAACACCCCGTACGGACTCAGAGCCCGCGTCCCTCCCCAGGTCCACCTGCAGCCGCGCCCACCTTCTCGGCCAGGCGCTGGCGTCCGCGGCTCGGACACCTCACAGAGACAACATCTGAAGGGCGGTCACTTGAACCTCAGTGCCTGGCAGCACAGAGTAGGCGTTTAAGAAGTTGAATTATTATTATTATGTGTGTGTGTGTGTGTGTGTGTATAACACATACGTGGTACTGGAATTTTCTTCTCCCCTCTTGGTCAGGGTCCTCATTTGGGCGCAAAGAAGGGAGAGGGTAGGGATTACCCTCACTGCCACCAACAATTCAGGGCAGCAAACGATTTGCTTTTGTTTTTAAATCCCAAGGCCTCCCGCACACGTGCGCCAAGGCTCTAGTGACAAACCCCTTTCCTGTAAGGAGCGTGTGCTGGGCCACCCGGAGAGTCCTGGCTTCTTCGTGGGGGACACGCTGTCCTTCACCTCAGGCAGTCAGAGTGAGCACAAGCCGACGTAATCTGGCGCCCAAATGCACGCAGACAGCGAAATGGTTGCTATGCGGTCAAACTAAAAGTCATGCAGGAATAATGGAAACCTTCCCTCTCGATATGTAATATGCTCTTATTTCCAGGGAATCTGGGGGCCTCTTAAGCTCTCAATCCATGTGATTGCGGTGCGGTGGGAAGAGCTCTCCCCGATGGCTGGGGAGCTTCTGTTTTACCTGTGACCTTGGACAAGGCTCTTCCTCTCTGTGGGCCATGATCACCACGGCCCCTCTGGCTCCCGGTGGAGTCTAAAGTTCGTGAAGCCGACTTCCTCGAATCTGCTCGAACCCGCGAGTGTCCCTGTCTTTGGTGTGACAGCTCCAGGAGCAGGGGTGGTTGGTGCGCTGACTTTGCGAGTCTTGTCCTGGTTCCCACTGCTCCTGGAAGAAGGCTGAGTATCCGCTCTGTGTTCTCCCGGGTGAGGCTGACGGTCACAGGCAACCAGAGGGTGTGATGTCTGGGGTCGATGGCTGCACCCGATCGTCCCGGAGGAGCTGGTAACCGGCCTTCCGTGGTCCCATGAGACCTGCGGACCCTTTGGTGCCTCATCCGTGATTTGCAAAGGGGGTTTGAAATGGGATGGGTTCATCAAGTGTTTTTATCCTGAAACTCCCTTCCTAACCTGAGAAGACCCAGGGTGCCTGTCACCCCTTCCCCTCAAACCTAGCCCCCTGCCCCGGCTGTGCCCACCCGGCCGGTCTGCTGGGCGTGTGCGCATCACTGGTGGAGGCTCTGGCCACCAGAGGGCACTCTCACGACGTGGAACCCCCGTGGCTTTCTGTGCCGAGGAGCCCATCTGGGCTTGCTGAGGCCACCCTCTGCTTGAGTGAGTGTCAGCCAGGGACAATTTCCTCCCCCTAGGGACAGTTCACAGCGTCTGCTGGTGGGGGGCTGCTGCTGGCGTCTGGAGGCCCAGGATGGATGCACTCAGCATCCTGGGATGCACTGGACCGCTCCCACCACGGAATATGATGCCCCAGATGGCCGTAGTGCTAAGGCTGAGAAAGTCTGCTTTGCCGAAATGCAGAGCACCCCCCCCCGGCAGGGTATGTCTCCTGGAGCTGACCTGTCCCGGTTCATCACCCCCAAAGGGAAATTTTAAAGATTTTATTTATTTATTTGAGAGAGAGAATGAGATAGAGAGAGCATGAGAGGGAGGAGGGTCAGAGGGAGAAGCAGACTCCCTGCCGAGCAGGGAGCCCGATGCGGGACTGGATCCCAGGACTCCAGGATCATGACCTGAGCCGAAGGCAGTCGCCTAACCAACTGAGCCACCCAGGCGCCCCCCAAAGGGAACTTTTAGATACTGACTGACAAGCATTGCTCATTGCCTGAAACGCGGGGGTCACAGAAGGGGCGGGTAAGGCAGAGGGCACATGGGGTCCCCAGTATGGGGCCCTGTCCATGAGGTTGGCTCTCTGAACAGCACCCAGGCCCCCTGACAGTGCGAGCCAGTTCTCTGTGCTGGAGGGACAACACTAGCTCTTTGTCTCCCAGACTGGGCAGGGTGAGGGGACGCCCTGGCCTGGGGGGTCCTCCTTCCCACGGGGCTGGCGATAGGCCTGGGGCTTTGGGAGCTAGCCAGAAGCAGTTTCCACGAAGTCCTTGACACCTCCCGGGAGGGAGACATCTGGGGGAAGGAGGGAGGCGGAGATGGTGCTCCCGGCCTATATCCAGCCTGCAAACCCAGGGCCTGGGCTCCCTGCTCATCTCAGCCTCTCTGTGGGGTGAGGGCCTCAGCCTGGCTACTCTGGGCCTCTCCTTCTCCTTCCCCACACATCTGCCACAAAGGACAGGGAGGCAGCAGAAGGCAAAGTGCGCCCCCCACCCCGCAGGAAGCACACACCTACTCCTTGGATGAGGGACCAGGACCCTCTGTGTCCCCTTAGTTCCCCACTCCGTGTCCTAGAAAGGAATGGAGACAAGTCCTGCCGTTGGCAGCCTAGAGACAGAAGAGCAATCTGGTTCACTTCCCTTGGCTCCTGGAACATTCTGTCCTGTTGGCTTTGCCCTCGGTGAGCACGTGCCCCTCTCTGCCATGTCCCCCTCCCCTAGCCACCCGAGGCTTCCATCAGCTCCGCTTGTCGTTCTGAGGCCCCAGGGACAGGGAAGGGGACCATGCCAAGGCCCTCCTTCACCCCAGCCCATTCGACTCTGCTCAGGGGTCACGCAGGAACCTGAGGGTGGCTCTGGGAAGGCCCTGCTCTGTGCTCAGGTTCTCTCCACATGCTGGTCTCCCACGTGGCTGGGACAGCTCCTTGCCACGGCTTGCTTCCTTCAGCCTCTCGCTCTGGGCAGGGGTGGGGGGGGGGCGGTGATGGCAGCCTCCTTTCTCTGCCCCGCGCCCCCTCCCACGAGAACCTTGGGTGGCGTTTAGCCCCGCACCAGGTCAGGGCAGCGGGAGCGGGGACACAGCAGGGGTGGTCAGCCGAGAGGGCAGTGTGCCAAGGGCATTTTATTCATGGTCTGCAGGGCAGAATTACAGAACTGAGGAGGCCAGTCCCTCCCTGCCCCAGGCCCTTGGTCTCGGGGGGATGACAGACAGAAGGAAGTGTTTGTGGACAGGAGCTCCCAGGGCTGATGGAGAAGTGCGTGGAGGGCCGGGCAGAGACTGGGGCTGTGGCCTGGAGGAGGGGTCTGGGCCCAACACTCTGGGCACACTGACTCCTGACCCCCCCAACCCAGATGCCCACTTTCTCCCTAATGTGGGCAACTGTGGGGTGCTCGGCCCCCTCGAAGAAAGTGGAGATTAAGAATGTCTCCTTAATCTGATTAACAATTGGGTGGGAAGGGAGGGGGCCCCCACCTCAGTCTTCCCCAGCCCTGCAATGCCCCCTACCCCCTTTTGTCCATCTCCACCCCTTCAAAGCCTCCTGCAATTTAAACCCGTTTCCAGGCTGGGCAAGGCGCAAAGCCAGAAAGGAAGTAGACAAGAGAAGGGACGGAGTTTGGGGGACCCCTTCCTCCCATCTTCTCCCCACCTAAGGAGGATCCAAGGGCCACACTGCCTTGAAGTTCCCCAGCTGGGGGGACACGGAGCTTTTGTCCCCAGTTTTGGGTCTGTGAATCTCTGAGGAGAAGACCTCCCTGGGATCCAGGTGTCCCTGTGCCCCAATGGGACAGGGCTTTATCTCCAGCCCCTGGGGCCTCAGGGACAAGAGCCGGAGCCTCTCACCAGCCCCCTGCCCCAGCCCAGCCAACAAGGGGAGCCCCGGAAAGGGGCGTGTCACTGGGGGGCCCCCGGGCCCTGGGAGCAGGGTGTCTGGCTTGGAGGTCCCTGGGAACTGCCGCTCTGGGGGGACATGGGGCAGGAAGGGCCCTGAGAGGCGGGTCCAGTTGGTGGGGAGGGAGGGCAGGAGGGGAGGGGTGAAGGAGGCAAGACTGGGCGGCTTGTCTTGGGGGCTCCCCAGAAGACAACAAGGGCCAAGCTGGAAGGGGACCGGGAGAGAGCCAAGGCCTGGAGAGAGAGAGAAAGAGAGGGCATCAGGAGGGATGCCCCGCATCTCCACCCATTTCCCATTTCTTTTTCCTCTTGATGGAAACTTCCTCTCCCCCCTTCCTGTTTTCTTTGCTTTGAGTCTATTTCCTGGGGGCAGCCTGGGTGCGCCCCTTGTGGCCCCTGTGCCTCTCCTGGGGGCCTTGGCCCCGTTAGAGGGGGACATTTGTGCGGCTACTTCCTGCACGGCTGCGTCCCCAACCCCTCCTCCAACCCCAACTCTACGTCTTGCTTCGTTCTCCCCTGGACCCAGCCCCGCCTGGCGCTTATTCGGAGCTCAGTACAAGGGTGTGGAGCGACTTAGATGAAGACATTCTTTGCCGAAACTCCGTGAATCCTGTCCTCACTTCGCCTGGCCTGTAGCAAAGGGCTGAGGCTCTAGCGTGGGGCCCTGGGCTTCTTCCCATTCTCCTCACCTGCACAGGCCCCTCTGCCCGCGAAGATGGAGCGGCGAGGCCAGCGCGGGGGCCCAGCCTCGCCCTTGTCCAGCTGCCTTTGCTGGAAGCTCCTCCCTCCCCGATCCGCCCTCACGCCCCCTGCCCTCCTGCTCTGTGGGCATCCTGCAACGGGGTGCCCGGCCCTGGTCTGGGTCTCGGGGTGATCAGTAGAACCTCACACCACTGTCTATTTCAAAAGGCCCAACTCCGATCCGTCCCGGTCCTTTCTTAGCAAGGCCATATCATTTAACCGGGAGAGCAGGGTGATCACATCGGTGGGGCTGGAGTTAACAAAAACTGGAAAAGCACATTAGTGACTTCCCACACTGACAGATCTGAAAGGAACGCTGTTTCTGAAGTCGTAGTTCTGGAGGGGAAAACAGAGGACACGGTCCTGCACAGGGGAAGGGTGCACCCTCCCCCGGGTCACGGGCTCACCGTCCTTCTCCTCTGGTCTGCCCGGGAGGCTGTGTCCCGGGGGCTCCCGAGGCCGCGGCTGTGTGACGGGCGGTGTCGGCCCTGGGAGGGCGGCCGGGAAGCATGTGGAGAAGTGGGCTCTAAGCGTGACTCCCCCTCTCGCTCGCTTCCCTGCACCAGCCCCGCACCTGCCGCCTCTGCTTTAACCATCCCGGCCACTCTTCCTCCCAGAGGCAGTGTCCTCTCCTGGTACCAGTGCCCTGAGTGCAGGTGACGGTGACGGGCTGCTCTAGCCATCTGCTGACCTCAGCCAGGCAGGGCATGTGTGTGCCCATGGAGGGCAGGGAGGGGCACAGCGCTCACTCCAAGCTGGGGCTCGCCAGGGACACTGGTTTCCCCTCATGGTTTCCCAAAGAGTAAGCTGTGTGCCCGAGGCATTCCCAGAGCCAGGAGGGTGGGTGGCAGGGGAGGAACGGGGTGCTGTGCAGGCTCTGTCTAGCTCCGGGGGGGCAGACCGGCAGTTGTGCAAGTCCCGGCGTGCCCTGGGCTGCCCGCACCCACAGCCTCAGCGGCACTCCAGGGCGCAGAGCCAGGCCCTTCTGGGCCCCCAGCTGCCTACACTGGGGGCAGGGCTAAGGCCAAGGATCTCTACCCCATGAACTTGCCAGCAGAGGTGGGGTAGGTCTGGGACCTCTGTGCAAAGCCTCGGGCTGCTCAAGGGTCTCTGTGATCTTCCTCGCATAGAATCACGTCCCTGTTGACAGCCCCGGGAGAGCCGGCCTCGGCCTACATTTCCACGGTCTCCCCTGCGTTGCAGTGCTGCCCCGCTGGCCTTGCCCAGAACCTCTTTCCTGCCCTAGGGCCTTTGCAGACACTGTTCCCTCTGCTTGCCATGCTCTCCTCCCTCCCTCTTCTGTTGGGCCTCCTGCACCTGGTACCCACGCCTTGGTTCTGGCTCCGTCAGCTTCTGCCTGGATGATCGTCCCAAGCCTCCTCCAACCCCAACTCTACCTACAACCCAAGTCATCTTTCTGAGATGAGAATCTCAACGCGCCTCTTCCCCCGGGTGCCTCCTGCTCAGGGCGTAAAGCCCGACCGGTTAGCGTGGCCCGAGCCCTCCGTGACTGCACACCAGCTGCTTCGGCTGCCAGCCCTCCCCGCCCCGCGCCCGCCGTGCCCGTTCGTGCGAGCGCAGCAAGCCCCCAGGCGCCTTTAGCTTTGCTGCCCTTGCTCACAGCTCTCCGCTGTACCAACGCTGTTCCCTCGGCCTGGGCACCTTCTGCGCCCACTCCGCCTGCCCAGGCTGACCTCCTGGGGACCCCCGCTCCTCCTCTGCGTTCCCGGGGCACCTGGCGCTTGCCTGAGTCTCGGCGCCAGGCACCGACTGTCCGAACCCCCACACCTGGGGAGTCGCCGGTGCTCAGTTCGTGGAAGGACGAAGGGTGTGTAATATCCCTAGTCTCCAGCCACCCCCCCGCCCGCGTGCGCTCCGTGCGCTGCACCTGGTGGTCCTCCCCTCCTCTGCCTCAGATCCCCCGGGCCCTCCCCAGTCCCCGGCACTCACGGGGGGCGCCGCTGCCGCTCCCCGTCTTGTCCTCAGCGGCCTCTGGCAGCCCCCGGGGGGTCTGCTGTCCAGCCAGGTGCTCCGCCGGGGCCCACTGGGCAAGCAGCAGGCTGTGCAGGAGCTGGGGGGGTGGTGAGAAGCAGGGGTGGGGTGGGGTGGGACGGGCTGGGCCGGCCTGCGTTCCCCAGGTCACACTGTGCCAACAGCCAGTTGTTAACACAATGACATATTCTCAGAACGGTTGTTCAATGGCCACTGCCCCCCGCACGCCCAGGGGCCTCCGATGACATCCCGCTGCTGAAGGACTGACGCCTACGAGGAAGGAGCCACCCTCGCTCCCGGGTGCATGCTGCACTGTGAGCCACGCAGGGGTGATTTGGGGTGCCACCCCTGCGCCGGGGCACTCGGGGACTAGAAGGCAGGGGGTAGAACGGGAGACAGCTGACGGCCCGAGGCAGAGGGGAGGGCTGGGGGCCTCCTGGGCGCAGGGCGGGGGCTGCCTGGTGTGGTGCCTACCTCACTGGGCATGCCCATGGGCAGCAGGGCTGGCCAGAAGAGGGCGGGGGCCCCCAGCAGCAAGTGGGGGGAAGGCGGTGCCTGCATCTCCCACAGAGGGTAGTTGATGACGATCAGCCTGCTGAAGTTGAACTTGTACGTGAACCTTTTGCCTTTGGTCTTGTGCAGGATCCTCTTATTGTAGTAATACCTGCAAAGGCGGGGGCTGAGTTGGCCCCGGGGGGCAGCGATGAAGCCAGAGGCCCCGCCATGCCCCTCCCCAGGCCAGCGAGGTAAACCGCAGCTGTTTCTGCAGAACCACTGGGCATCGGCCACACTGGGGCGTCTCTCCCAAGCCTTGGGGGGCAGGGGTGCCAGCGACTTTGAACTCTGACCCCTCGGGGCCCCTCCCCCGCGGCGGCCGTTCTCACCTGAGGGCCCGGCTCAGCTTGTCGTAGTTCATCTGGGGTTTGCACTTCCTGCGGCCCCAGAGGCGGGCCACCTCATCGGGATCCTTGATGACAAACTCCCCGTATTCTCCCTGCTGCCAGGCAATGACATGGCGGAACTCTTCCTTCTGCAGCAGTTCCAGGATGAAATGCCACAGCTGGATCTGCCGGGAGCCCGGGGAGGACTCGGCTTTGTAGGCCCAGTCCGGGAAGGCCAGGCCTGGGCGGAGGGGGTGTGAGTGCCACCCGGCTGCTCGGAGGCCCCCTTCCCCCCGGCCGCCCCTCTGCAGCTGGGCAGGGGGCTGCCTGGCAGACGCTCACCTGAGATCCAGGGCCTGCCCGGGCCAGCGGGGGCGCCCCCGGCCACGCAGCCGCAGTGCATGGTCTCCTCGGGGGGGCAGTGAGGGCCGCGTCTGGGCCTTGCGGGAAATGGGCACTGCTGAGGTGGGAGGCGAAGAATGAAGGGAAGAGAAGCGGGGAGACTCGAGGGGCGAAAGGGGAACTGAGGCAGGGGCCTGGGACGGCCGGCAGGAAGCTCCCCCCACCGCACCGAGGGCCAGCCCGGCCTCCTTTGGGGGCCTCCTCATGGCCAGGGCTTGGGGCCGAGCCACCTATAGGGTGGATATTGGAGAGCAATGCAGAGGGTCCTCTTTCCTGCCCCGCCGGGGGATTTAGACAGAATGAGCTCTCTGCTCAGGGCTTAACGGGATTGGAGTTTTTCCCAAGTGAAGACAAGAGAAAATGTAATGAATCGTTGGCTCCTGGTAAACCTCGAGTAGATGCCCAAACCCATAGCTCTGTGGCTTCGGTTGCGAGTCTGGGGAGAGCCGGGATTGTGCTTTCTCAGCCGGGGGTCTGCCGTGCCTGGCGCATGCCTGGCACACTGGGGGTGTCCAAGGAGGGACTGGCAAGAGCATCTGCGAGTGGTAAGGGAGTTATCAATGGCGCCTTTACGTGTTTAATATCTGTCTTCCCCTCAGAGTGGTGGCTCGGCGCCATCGGGAACCCCGGCTGTCTGGTTCACGACTGGCTCCCCAGAGGCCAGCCCAGCACAAGCCTTGGACTTGCAGGTGCTCTGTAAGTATTTGCTGAGTTACTGAACCCCGGGCTCAGAAGGGGGGATCTTGCCTGTCCCCAGTGCGGCGGGAGGCGAGGCAGGGGCCAGCGGTGGGATGGGGAGGAGGCTGGGGAGTGAGCCCCCAAGGCATGAGCTTGCCTGAGGCAGGCCAAGGGAGGGGAGGAAATGGATCTGTCCCAGAGCCTTCCAGATGGGGTTGAGGCTGGTGCTCCAGGCCGGCTCCCACTGTCACTGAGGGCAGAGCGCCCAGGGAGCGTGGGGAGGATGCAGGGAGTGGGCCCGCTCGTGGCGTGGACAATCCCTGCACAGGCAGGGCCACGTGTGCACTGGGCACCAGCTTACGTGACCTGCCTCCGAGTTTCCAGCTCGAGCGACGTCAGGGCGAGGCCGGCAGGTCTGAAGGGCATGTGGGGCTTGTCTGGAGTAGCCTCCTCACTTTCCAGCCGGCTCACTGAGGGACAGCCACCTGACGCAAGGGGCTTAGCCACTGTCCCTCCACTCCTAACGCACAGCACCTGCTCACACACCGTGTTGTCCTAAAGCTTACAAACCACCTGTCTAGAGCAGGGCTTCCCTAAGGATCCCCTGAGAATCTCTCCACAGTGCAGATTCTGATGCTGTGGGACTTGGTGGTGCCTGAGATTCTGTATTTCTAACAAGCTCCTAGGTCCGTGGACCCTGCTGTGAGTAGCAAGAGCCCGTGGGACAGAGCAGAAGGGGGAGTCAGGCTGGCTTGGGATCCCAGACACCTCAGCTGGCGAGACCCTCCCATCCCCCCACCCCAGAGGTCATGGGTCTCCTGCTCTTCCTTTCCCAGGGGATGCTTGGCTCCAGGGGGTCAACTGACAAACCTTCAGCTCCTGGGGGCAGGTGCTTCTGGGGGTCCCCAGTCTGGCCTGAGGAGAAAGCATCCCTGGAAATTAAGGTGGCCGAGCAGCAAGTGGGTCCACGCCCACTTGGAGTCTGTGGGAGTAGGTTTTCCCACCATCCCTCTGCCCTCTGACATTCTGTAACTTCTCCCGTTCCTTTCCGCCCCTGGAACAGACGTCCCCACCCATCTCCCACCTTCCTTTCCTGCCTGGTCCATTGGGAAGTTCCTCCTCTCTTACCACAAGTGGGTTGGGATCCCTCCCACCTCACCTTAGAAAAATGGGTTGGGAGATGGTGGGTGGTGGTGCAGGGAGGGGTGTGGAGGTGAGAGGTCCCAAGAGAAGACTGTTCTGTGGAGGGAGCTGGTGGGATTCCTACAGCTGCCCCCGTGCCAATAAGTCTGATGGGGTCTCCTGGTCTGGAGGATCGGAGACCTCAGGGTAGATCTAGGATCTGGCAAGAGGAGAATGATAGGGCGCCTGGGTGGCTCAGTCGGTTAAGCATCTGCTTTCAGCTTGGGTCACGATCCCCGGGTCCTGGGATCGAGTCCCACATCAGGCTCCCTGCTCAGCGGGGAGCCTGCTTCTCCCTCTCCCTCTGCCCCTTCCCCGGCTTGTGCTCTCTCTCTCTCTCTCAAATAAATGAATAAAATCTTAAAAAAAAAAAAAAAAGGAGAATGATAAACCCACCGCAGAGCAGACCCTCAGTGCACCCTGCCCCCTGCCCCCTGCCCAGGAATTAGACATGCCCGCCCCGAAACATCGCCAGAAGTATACGAGGAGCTGGAACTCAGAGGGGTCGAGGAACTTCTCTAAGGCCACACAGCTCTTAAGTGAAAGAGCGGAAAGCAAGACCTTAATTCAGGATTTATAATATTCTGCCACTCGGGTAGGCTACCAATACCCCCTGTCTGGCCCCCACAGGGAAAAAAACCCCAAATACAAAAACCAAAGTGGCATCCATAGCAGAGGTCAAGCCTGCCCTCCTTGCCCCTCCCCATTTCCCGCCTCCCCCGTGTTTGTGGGAGTCCCTCCCGGATCCCCAAGTCTCTGAGGAGCTTGGCACCTGGATGTGGACGTCCTCACTCCTGGTGAGTCTCTCCTGACGTCTCCCCTCAAGCCCCTCCTTTTGTGTGGGAGCCCCGAGGAGCTGACCCAGCCTCAGACAGGCTCTCCCTTCCCTCTAACCCCTGCTGTGGTGGTGAGGCTCCGGCCGGGGAGGCGCCCCACTCTGTCCCCCACCCCTCCACCCCAGGCCCCCCGCTTCCTCCCTCCAGTGTTGTGAGCCCAGCGTGCCGGGCTTGGGGGGCCGGGCCAGGCTCTCGCAGCCCCGACAGCTCTGGGCCGGCCTGGAGAACTGTCCATCACAAAGGGTCCTAACCCAGTCTGGGACGGCCAGCGTGGCCCTTGGAAGCGCTTTGTGTCGTTGGAAGGGCTAGCTGGAGCAGTGCGTCCGAGGCCTGCTTACCGAGAGTTCCAGCAGCCTCCTTGGACCGTGCGAGTGCTCATTACAACACATGTAGGTTTTAGGTCAGGATTTAATAAAGCAGCATAAGAATGCTGGCAACAAGAGAGTAAGCCTTACGCCAGGGCTTGGAGCTGAAGGAAAGGTCTCAGGCAGAGCTTCTCTTTCTGAGCGTTGAGTCAGTATGAATTGGGCCCCTATCCCGCCCGGCACCGTGCCTGACCGTACCCCCCACCCCATGCTACTGCACTGAATCTTCACGATAACCCCTTGACGTGGCCATCCACATCCCCGCTTTACAAGGGTTGGAAATTGAGGCTCCGAAGAGTAGGAGACTTGCCTAAGATCCCAGGGCAGGTGGCGGAGCCGGCTAGCCCGGAACAGAGCTGTCTGACTCGGAGCTCTGAGCTGTCGTCAGTCAATGGGGCAGAAGCTGACCTCGAGGAGCAGAGCGGCGTGGGCGGTGGCGCCCCGGGCCCTGGGAGCCTCCCCGGTCTCAGCTGAGCTGTGAAGCCTGGGGACCCTCAGTCAGATGGGAGGGGATGAGAAAGACAGGGACACACTCAGAAGAAAAAAAAGTTGGGAGTTCAAGACCAATGCTGCCTACCTATCTGAAAAGCAAAACTTGCATCAAAAATGACTCTGTTGTTGGGCCTTCTAAGAGGCTGGCCCGGATCGACTGCACCGTCTGGTTGATTGGCCTCAGCCGGGTCCTCTCAGTGAGCCCCTCACTGATTCAGCGGGAGAGTAGCGGAGAGAAAGAGTGCCTGCTGGGCTGGGGGCCGTGACCGAGAGCTGGTGGTGGACACAGGCCAGGACGGAAGGGTCACAGTGGGGAGACCAGCCCAGAGGGGTACAGTGGAAACACAGAGATGACAGCCTCCAGGTGGGGGGTGGGGATTATGCTGGTCAGCACTGAGCAAACTGCGCACCCCCACCCTCCACCAAATCCCCAATCTGATTAGAAGCCTCTGGTCTGTCCCCTTGATCTCAGTCCCAAGTGGAGAGTAGGTAGTCCTGAGACCTCCCTTAATGCTATTAGCTAAAGCTGCTTAGGTAGGAGTGCGAGGGGCCTGGGGTCTGGGGAGGGCAAGCCAACCACCTTTTCCCCTGGGGAGTTTGGGGGAGGGGCAGGGATAGATGTTCTTTCTTCCCCGAGCCCCCAGGGCATCTTGTCCCTTCTGCCAGGTCACCAAACCCAGGGAGCCCTTCTTGCTTGTCCACCAGCTGCCCCCCACCTCTCCCCGTAACATCAGCCCTTCCTGCCCACGCCCCTACCCAGAGAGACGCCCCTCCTTGCTGCTCCCCAGGAGGGTCCCCAGGCAGCCCTGCTTCTCCCACACCTCTGTTTCCCCCTCCAGGAGCCCTTGGGTTTCAGGTCGCTGCCCCCCCCACCCCAGCCCCAGCCCCTTGCAGACCCTCCAACTCTGGTCTCTGCGTCCCTGGGGACCGTGGGCTTTAAAAGGTTTGTGCAACTGTGGGGAGCAGAAATGCAAAGCCAGACACCCCCAGGCCCTACCCCAGACCTGTCAGAAGGGCAGCTGAAGGTCTTGGGGAAGGTGGCCCAGCCCTGGGGCCCAGGGGTTGGGGGAAGGGCACTGGGGGTCATGAGGCAGGCTCCCAGCCCCACACCCTCCCCTCCCCCCATCCCCTTTCTGGTCTCTGTTTCACTTGGTTTGACCTTTTCATCTTCAGCTCATTTCCTGCTCCCTGACTATTTCTTCTCTCTCCTTTCCAGTCCCCGTCCACCAGGCTTCTAGAGTCTTCCTTTCCGGCGTCTCTGTGGTCCATCCTTTTCTGTCTCGGTTTCGAGGCTCTTCCTTTTCTGTCTTTATTTCTCAAGACCGCGCCATGCCCCTTGCCCCATCCCCTCCTCCGGCCTGTCTTCCGTCCTCTCCCGCCCTCTGTCTCACCCATGCTTCGGAGCTGGAAACTGAATGCAGGCCCCCAGCTCCCTGGCCCCGGCTCGGCAGCCCCCTCGCACCGCCAGCCTCTCTCCCAGCGCCCTCCAGCACCGGACCCCTCCTGGGGCAACCCCAGCCTCAGTTCCTTCCATCTCATTCCCGGCAGGCAGCTGTGCCCCAGGGATCCCCCTGCCTGGACATCCCCGGTCCTTCCCCCCCCCCCCCCCCCGCCCCCAGGGACAAGAAATCCCCTCCAGCAGGCGCTGAGGTGGCGGAGGAGCCAGGCGAGCCAGAGGAAGTGAAAGCTCGCAGCCAAAGGCTAAGCCGGGGTTGCTGGCCGCCGGGTCTGAGCAGACGGTGGCCAGCGTTTCAGGACCTCATCCGCTGGGGGCTTCTGCCACCTTCAGACTCACCCACCCCCCACCCCAGTCCACTTCCAGCCTCCACCTGAATCCTTGTCCTCACCCCAATCCTAGTGAACCCTGACTTCCCCTAAGCCCCGAGCCTGAGCGCAGCCCCTCTCCCCACCCACCCCACTGCCCCCCCCCTCCCCGAGCAGGGCCAGAAAGGGGCTTGGAGCTGGGGCGACTTGTCCTTTGGCTCTTGTGCTTTGGGAGGGGTTGGGGAGGGGAGCATCACTGTGCCTCTCCAGCCTCACGGAGTCTACACCTGCCCTAGGGCACAGGGGCTCTCAGACTTCAGGGTCCTTGGACCTGGTTCTTGGGAAGGATGCCAGGAGTCTGAGGAAGGGAGACGGGCAGGCACGGGGGGCAGAGGTTTCAATCCGGTTCAGCCTAGCCTGGCTCAGAGGGGAGCACAGCCTTAACTCTCCCATCCTCGGGACCTCTGCCCACCCCCTGCTCCTCCCCATGCCCAGGTTGTGATGCCCACTCCCGATGTCAGTCCTCACCTAATGCCCTTCCCCCTCAGCCCCGAGGACGGTACGGCGAGCTCTGGGTGAGCGGCTGCAGGGATGCCTGAACCGGTTCTCCCCTCAGCCCCAGCTCGACTCAGACCCCGATAATGCCAGGAGTCCCATCTGCCCCAGCAAGCTGACGCCTGACCCCCCAGTGCCCCACCTGGGGAGAGGAGACCAGCTGTTTTCGTGAGGCCCCCACTTCTTTCTGCCCTGACTGCCCAGCACCTGGCTCTGCGGCTGTCCCATGCCCGACAGACTGACGGAGGAGTCCCTGGGCTCTCGCCTCCACCCCCTTCCCGCTTGCTCCACAGCTGGATCCTCAGCTGGGGTGGGGCGGGGGCCAGCAGGGCCGTCCCTCGGGCCAGCCCAGCCGCATACCTGCCACCAGAGTCCCTTACCTTGGTGCAGCTGCTGGCCCCGGCTCCGGCCCCTGCTTCTTCTGATGCGCTCCTCGCCCAGCGGCCCTCGCTCATCACATGCGAGTTAGGGTTACTTAAAATGAGAGCGGGATCTCCAAGCTCCCAGGGGAGCCGATGTGGTTTTCAGACAATAGCATTAACCCTTCGGGGGCCAGTGGCACCATGGCCTGCGCCCCCTCCAGCTCGGGGAGGGCTGGGGCGGCGGGGATGTCTCTCGGTAGGTCCTTAGCATCCAGAGCCTGCCTCTGGGGAGGGGGCTCCTAAAACATGGGGCCAACAGAGACGCTGGTCAGAAGGCCACCTGTCCTCAGTTCGAGGAAAAGGGACACTGAAGTGCAGGAAGTCCTTCCCCTGTCCACCCTTCCCTAGATAATCAGTCCTTCTCCCAGGGAACTTTCTGTGGAGATAGAGCCCAGGCCTGGAGAGCATCCCCTCTGAAACCTGGGCCTCGGACTCCCTGGGTCCCAGGCCCCGGGACTGCTCACAGGGCCCACTGAATCCTCTCATCGAACGCTTTCCCTGAGTCGCGAGTATGTGATGATCCTAACGGTTTACCCCGTGTGTTTTCTCTGAGACTATGTAAGCACTTACTATATCTCTTTCCTCCTGGAGTTCTGGAAAATGATTTTTCTTTTCTCTACTAATACGACTGAAAGCCAGACAGCAAGAAGAACTTCCAACTCAGGCATAGTAAACCAGACAAGAGGTTGTAACTGCAGGGGCATTGGATACCTGCTATGGAAATAGGAGGACTAGGGGAAGGGGTAGGATTCCAGGATACACTGGGAGGGGGATGCTTTAGGC